AAAATATACAGTAAGATCGATATTTAATTTTGGAGGGTTTTATTTCGGCTGTTTCATGCTTTTTTTATTTTGCCATGGGTGATATGTAATCCATGAGATTAACATTTGGCATGTATATTTAGTTTTTCATTTATCTTAGGTTAATGCAGTAACACATATGACCCATCTGCAAGGACTGGACAGGACAATCTAAATTCAAAAAATTGAAATCAGTCGATATCAATTATTATCATGACAAATGTCACATTATAATTTCTTTTAATTCTAAAGCCTAGTTTTAGATCATGAGTGGAGTTTGTGTTTTTAATTTCTTCTTTAGGAGCAGAGAATGACAAACAAACGATGTTGGTGTTTGTTCTAACATTATCAACAACAGGAAGGAAGTGGCTTGAAGTCCCCGTGGACATCAACACACTGGTAAAATCAACAGTTAAAATGACTGTATGTGTGTCTATAGGTCAATATACAGATTGACAGTGTTGTGTGTCCTACAACATCACAGCTATTTTGAGGCCTTCATTGAATCCTGTTGAATAATGCTGCCATCCGCTGCTCCTGATGAGAGACCCTCGGTGTTGCATCGTTACATTGGCCTCTGGGCAATGTAGTAGATCAAATCTGAGCTCAGCATTTGATGCCCTCATGTTGTCTGGCAGTCAGATTAAAAACACTGTGACCACATTTGATTCAAAACCTCCACTAGATGTCAGACGAGTCTTACAGAGAGATATCATGGCTTTGAGCAACAGCAGCCGCCGGAAGATGAGTATGAGTTGCCTTTGCTTTTCCTGTTAACATGTTGTTTAAGTTGAAATATCTTCAATGATAAAGGGAAAACTCTTACAGATCACTAAATGTACTAAATAACATGCTTTAATAGTTGAATATAAATACATTTTCATGTTTTAAAACCCCAATAAGTTTTTAAATCTAATTGAGAGCACAATGTGATGACTAATGCTGAGTTTAGTTGTCACTTGTGACAATATCTACAAACAGATGACTACACAGTAGATGGCTGGGTGGGTAGGCAGGTTAGGTAGGTAGGTTATAGATAGGTAGAGTATGTAGGTAGGTAGGTTAGGTGGGTAGGTAGGTAGGTAGGTAGGTAGGTAGTAGGTAGGTAGGTTACAGGTAGGTAGTAGGTAGGTAGGTAGGTAGGTTATAGGTAGGTTACAGGTAGGTTATAGGTAGGGTAGGTCGGTAGGTAGGTTAGGTTGGTAGGTTACAGGTAGGTCACAGGTAGGTAGGTAGGTTATAGATAGGTAGAGTAGGTAGGTTAGGTGGGTAGGTTACAGGTAGGTAGTAGGTAGGTAGGTAGGTAGGTAAGTAGGTAGGTAGGTAGTAGGTAGGTAGGTTACAGGTAGGTAGTAGGTAGGTAGGTAGGTAGGTTATAGGTAGGTTACAGGTAGGTTATAGGTAGGGTAGGTCGGTAGGTAGGTTATAGGTAGGTAGGTTAGATGTTAGGTAGGTAGGTAGGTAGGTAGTTAGGTTAGGTGGGTAGGTTACAGGTAGGTCACAGGTAGGTAGGTAGGTAGGTTATAGGTAGGTATTAGGTAGGTAGGTTATAGGTAGGTATTAGGAAGGTGGGTTATAGGTATAGGTTAGGATAGATAGATAGATAGATAGCCTTTTAAACTGATGCATATACAAATATTATTATTATAAGTAGTAGTAGTAGTAGTAGTATTTCATTAACAAGAATACGATTTTCTAGAGTCTACCCTATTATACACTGTCTCTGATACGGTATAAAAAATCACACTATTGCAGGGTTGTTGCAGCAGGTTGCACGCACACACACACACACACACACACACACGCAGTACACACTGTACTGAATAGAAACATGCACAGTGCTGACACGCACGCAGTCTGGTCGTGTGGTGGCGCTCTTGTAGTGTCTGCTCTGTCCCTCGCAGGTAGAGTCAGGCTGTTTAACAGCGGGTCGGTGGATTCACTCCGCTGTGAAACTGGCAGCAGAACACATGAAACCTCCAGTAATGCGATGCCACAGCAGCTTGTTGAACTCCAGTAGAGCTGTGCTTGATGTGACGGAACTTTCTCTTCATCATCACCACCCTCCTCCTCCTCTTCCTCCTCCTCCTCAGCATCAGCATCACTTCTCACTTGATGACTATCTCTCTGAACGGGTTGTCTGCAGGCGCGTCTTTCTCCTCTGGTCCGCACTGAAAGTTTGATTTTAAACGAAGAGAAGAAAAGATGAACAACACGGGGTTCAACCAGACGCAGGGCGCACTGCTCAACAAGACGGAGGAGTTATTCTGCTGCAACTTTTCCTCCGTGGTGACTGATAATGGCTTCGTGGCTGCGGCGCCGGACGAGAGGAGCCTCTTCATCATGAGGGTGGTCCAGATCGCCGTCATGTGCGTCCTGTCCCTCACCGTGGTCTTTGGCATATTCTTCCTGGGCTGCAACCTCCTCATAAAGTCAGAGGGGATGATCAACTTCTTGGTCACGGACAGGAGACCCTCTAAAGAAACGGAGGCCGTCATTGTTGGAGCTTATTGACTGACGAGGTTGATCTTGATGGATGGAGAGATGTTGGAGACTAATCTGCCTCTTTTCACATTGGTGCGTCAATCGCCATGTAAGAGGCAGCTGAACCCTGCAGGGTTAGGGTGGCTTTTTTAACGCCAACAGACTCATGCATCTCCAAGAGGTATAGTGCGTTTTCAGCCTCAATGTTTATAAAGTATTCAACCAAGCACTGTTGTATAATTTCAGTAGATGGAGCACAATCTGTCCAAGCAGCGTCCTCTTTCACCTGCTGCTTAATTCTTCCCTCTCATATTGCTAAAGCAATAGAGAATTTAATGTGTAGGATGTTTATGTATGTTGTATGTTTTTTTTGCATACAACATGCAACATATAAATAACTGTTTTTCTCTCTGTATGAGTGTATGAGCGTGGGCGATGGAGGAAGCCCAACATGCCATGTATCGTGAAAATTGGAATAAATTCAGTATGTAATTCAAGTTTTCTCTATTTCTTACCATGAGCCCTCGCCATACCCTGTGCCAATGTCGTTCAATTCAAAAAACCAAAAGAGCTTCTGAAACCGGTTATTTCCTTGTTATAATTATATACAAATATACAAATTGGCATATTATGAGTTTCTGTTTAAACTGAGACCTTCTCTGTGGCATGCGTATAAGGAGCAGTGAGCGCTGAAGAAACTCCACACAAGATATTTTCCTCTCATTCATTACTGTCATTTGCGTTTTCTATTTATAGCCACGAGGTAAATGCCAATTCAATTTAAACAGCTACATTTGTTTTCACCTTCTTTAAGCTGCTAAGAAGGTTATCAAAATATTCCACATTAAGATTTTAAATGAAAAAAGCAATATCTTTATCATCATATGTGGGCATTCACTGTCTGGGTCAGATTTGGATCAGAGCAGCATTTTACATTCTTTCCCTCTCTCCCATCCAAGCATCTGTTGTGCTCTGCTCCCAGCTAACCTGGAAGCCAACTCCCCAGGGTGAAGCCCACAGCTTCAGAAATGACGTATCTTGTCAACCCTGGAAAGGATGAAGCCACCAGGCAATATGCTGCTGTCTGATTGCCCACCTGTGCTCCGCATGCACAGCTGAGTAGGTTGAATCGACTTGTCTTTTTATTTGAAACGTCCTTCAACCTGAGTTGTGCTCGGCACAGCCTTTTTCTGTCTGGTGATGGATGACTTGTCCAGACTGACGCACCAGCCACTGCGTAAGGCCACGACCATGCTGTGTGTCCTCATGTTGGATTTGAAGAAATTGATCTTTACAAATATTGTTCAAATACTCTCGAAACTTCAACAGTTTATCTAATGTAATATTCTGTGTGTAGAGGCTAGAAGCAGCTGGTAAAGAAGGTATTGAAGGTGGCACAAACAAATCCCAATGTTAAAGAAAGAGAAATTATTTCTGTTTTATGGGTGGGACAGACCTTTCAGATATAGCCTACATGTGACGGACACAATTATGTAGAATATAATATGATCCAGTAAAGAGACAAAGAACGTTACATTTTTAAAGATTACAGATTTCAGTTGGTTGAAGCCACAGGTATTTATTAGATTGGATGTTGTGAGCTGTTTCCTATTATGGGGGAATATGTGCACCAAAAAACATGACAGCTTCAAAAATTGCTGTGTTTGTATCAACGGCTTTCTGACAGTTTCCAACAAAACTCATTTTTACAATGTGAACACAGTGTTTATAGGATGTCTTGTTATTTTTTTCAATCACTTTTTTTCTTTCCTTGTTCAAAACTCACGAGAGACTGATTAAAAATGGCAATTTAAATTGATTCTTTATAAGTAAAATCACGCTGAATAAATTTGCACTACTATATCAAGATCTTGCCACGAAGCAGATACATGGGGTTTACCAATGATGAAACATATACATCGATGTTTGCTTAACTTTCTGCTCAGGCAGAACTGATTCATTAAAGTAAAATATTAACACTAACCATTAATTTCATTTCATTTCATTTCATTTCATTACGGAGATTTGGATTTTGTTCAGAGTGGAGAAAAAACAAAGCATTCCCAGCTTTCTAGAAACAAAATAAAACTTAAACTGTTAAAATATAACATTTTTGAAGTGAGCATAGAAAAAGACAATGTACCAGGAAGAATTAATTTCTTAACGTCATGACAGGAGTTTCTCGCTGCTTTGTGTGATTGCTTTCATTAGTGAATTCTGGGAATAGCTTGCAGGAAAGTGTTGTGACAGTTTAATATCCAGCAGAGAGCAATCTTCTGTCTCTGCTGCTGAACTATCGTTTGCTCATCCTGCACATTCAGACTGGATTCTGATCCATTTTTGGAGAAATTGGAGATTAAAGTTTATAAGCTGCATCATAAAAGCATTTCTCTGGGACTCTAGACTCTTTCTAGAATATTAGTTTCTCGACTGACACTTGGTGCTCAGCTCAACCTCCTCCTCGGATATTTAGGATTGTGCTGGTAGTTTTACACAGCATAAAATAAAAGCAGTAAATCCTGGGCATCACAAAAACAAAAGAAAACATTTTCATCAGGTACTGCAGTCCGGTTAAATATATATGTATACATATATAGCACAGGTTCAAACAGCATCAGCCTACTTCATCCCATGTCTAGTATATGTGAGCTATGTCCCACTGTCACAGCATCTGCAGGGTGTTGATTGTGAACTAAAAGAGGCTCCAGGTCCCTGCAGCTCGCTCTCGTGTGATCGGGTGGCGAGTGGAGGTCCAGTCAATGAACTGGATTGTGACTAAAAGCTCCAAATAGCAGCAAGGCAGCTGCAACCATCATCCCTGTTTATACTCCTACTGTCCCACAGCATCCATTCATTCTCTTCTGTGGGAGACACATAACCAATAATGTGGTATACTACTCATTTGTGGTCCTTTTATATTATGTTTA